ATGGAGCCCTGCTTTCCTGGAGATGGCTGAACACCTGCCTGCCGATGGGAAGTGGGGAAGGAATTGCTTGTTTTGCTTTGCTTGGGCACGCAGCTTTTGCTTTACCTATTAAACTGTCTTTATATCAGCCCACAAGTTCTTTATATCAACCCACAAGTTTTCTCATTTTTACTTGTCCAATTCTGTCCCTCATCCCACAGGGGAGGAGCGAGCGAGCGGCTGGGTGGGGCTGAGTTGCCGGCTGGGGTTAAACCATGACACTGGGATAGGTAGCAGGGTAGAAAATTAGGCCGTACCTCAGTTGGTAGTCATCGGTTCTTGGCTGTAGGCACAGGGAAACAACTCACCCCTTCCAACCCATGGAAAATGATTCCAGCAACTTAAAAATGATGGTCTCCTTGACTCTGGAAGGCAGCATGATATTGCAGTTAAAGCAGCACCTGCTGATAGACTCCTTCCAGCCCTTTCTTGTTGTGCTTGTTGAGAAGTGTGCAGCAAGTAATTATTTGCAAACACATCCCTCCTCCCACCTCCCCCAATCCATTATATACAAGTCAGAGACAAAAGAAGGTGCCACAACTCATACTCATGCCTCAAGTTACGGTCAGAAAAAACTCCTGAAAATAAGCTTTTGACCAGTGAGATTTGACGGGTCAAATCTCATGCTTTCCGTGGGAGATTTGTGCACCTGAACTCCACATCAACCACTGATATAACATCTGATATACATCACTCTAGCCTCTCTAACAGTTGCTCCATCACATGACATCTCCAGCTTAGTACCACCTCCCTATGCACCAGATGGGTCCCAGTCATTATCCCCACTGTGGCACTGCCTCACTATCAGTCAAAGATACACAACAGATTAATTATATTATGGCTTTTAGGATGTGAACTAATGAGGTGTCTTGAAAATGTCATCTAAGCTTCTTCATATTTCCATTTTGCTGCCTTGGGGTATAATGTGAGTCTCCAAAGCCGTTTATGCAAGGAAAATTCAAAATGTCTGAGGAAATAGGCCTGATAATAAATAATAGTAATAATAGTAAATTACAAACTAATAACAAATAGTGATAATAATAAATAATGCCTAATAAGGTAGATGTTTCTCTAATGTGCGTTGCCATTATTCTGTTGACTTCAGTGGAGGTGCACCATTTTACAGTGCTAGGAATTTGGGGCACAGATTCTATAAAAGGTGGTAGAAGTGCAAGGTAACATTATAATCAGACAACAGCAAAGGCAAAGATACAAGACAGGGAACACCTTTTGCAAAAGGGAATCCTACTGCCTTTAAGAGCATTGGTGAGAATCCTTCACCTAGCGGTACATCAAAGGCTTCCTATTTCAAACACTTACTCACCCACTAGAAAAATTAAAACAAAGTCAGTTTGTGGATCCATTCACTTCATGTAAATACCCTGGAGGGAAGAGGAAATGTAGGAGAAACTGCCATACTAGACAGGAGGAAGAAATGGTCATGGTCTTAACATGCCAATGAGCAGAACAGAGAAAGCAAATGAAAAACGGATGAAAAGACATATCAGGACATGAGGAGGCTGAGGCATAGGGTGTCTAAATTGTCTTGCTTCCAACAGGCAGTCCATGATGTTGAACTGCAGTTCAGTGTTTTGTGCACAAGATTGCCTATGGGATTTTGCAGCCTTCTGCCCAAGCCTTGGCCATAGCTATGTAATTGTAGCAGGGGATGGAGAAAGCCACAGACGGCACTGGAGGCATCAACAACCAACTCGGTGGGAGTGGGTCTTCTGACAGGTTTCTCAGGAAGAGTTTTCAGGCTCCCTGCAGGCACTGAGCAACTTTTACAGAAAGAAAAATCCTGAAATTTTTACATACATTAACATAGTTCACATATATTCTGCCAACCTTCCCTTCTCTGACATTAACACAAAGAGTCACACCATATGCAGCTCTCCACCTTTGATAAAGTTGTAATTCATGCAACACCTTGCTGTAGGACCAAACATTGCTGTAGGATCCCAGGATGTTTTGGGTGGGTTGGGAAGGTTCAATATATTGCTATCCCTGCCAGAGACTCTAATTCCTATTATTTAAAGTCTCTTGTGACTGACAATATTCAGACTGACAGAAGAGCTAATTAGCCTGAGGTAGCTTGGGAGCCTTTCTGCTGAATTCAGAAGTCCTTGGGATCAATCAGCTGGGCTTTGTGCTGCCAGGAAGAGACACTTGCCCTGGGCTGCTGTGATGGACTATTTCAGTATTGTGTCTGAGTCATAACATTAAATTTCCTCTCCTGTTCAATGACACACAGGTTCATTTGACAGTCATTTCTCATTGTTCTTCTCCATCAAATGCTTTGGCAGGCTTTTCTGAGGAGACAGGTGTCCAAAAATACATATTTTAAAACCAAGCTCCATGAAATCCTCAAATATTAATAGTTGGCTCCCACCTAAAAAATTAAGCTCTCATTTCCTGGGGCCTCTCAAAACTATATACCCAAGACCAGCACGCCTCCCACACCTTCTCAGATGGCCGTTTCAAGCCACGTATTAATTAATTAATTTCCTGGGTGTCCCAGGAGAGAAACAGGTCATAGATTATTATTATCCCTAAATTAAAAATGTGTAAACTGAGGCATAGAGACATCAAATGAACTGCTTATCAAGGTCAAGATTAAACAACTCACTGCTAGGCCACCATCTCTTCAAAAGAAAGAGGTGAAATTAATGGTTGCAGGCAAATCTGACCAAATAACTGAATGTTACTCATTTAT